GCAAATCGTGCCGCCTGCGTCGGTGTACCGGCTGCCGGCGCTTTTTACTTTAAGAAGGCACAATTATAAAGTGTAAGAATGACTATAAAGTACAGTTTAGAGATCCCTGAGCCTAAATTGACCATTTAACTGCGGCGACGAGCGGCGACGATCGATGTGTTGTGCTTTCAGCAACGTGGTTTGTCACCGAAAGCTTCCTTCTGAGCACAGGTTCCGGTACTTCTCTGACTCGCACGTAAGAACACGCAATTTTGAGTTGGCAATTTGGTACGCGTTAGTGAACTAACATACTGGCATACTTTTTCATCGGATTGCATTAGTCATTTTTTCGGCGGTTTCTTAGTTGCAGGTATCAATATAACTGCAAATTTGTAATCTGACACGCCAGATGTGTGCTGCTCAATAAAGATACTCAATAATCACTCGTGTGCGTGAATATCTACCAAAAAAGACATGCAAATCATCCGCACGTGTTGACCAGTTAGTAGCAAGTGCTAGAAACAATTATCAAAGGAAAAAAGACCACTGGCAGCAACAGCTGACAATATGTGGCTGCTCCTCCAGTCAACTTGAGATTTTTTAGAGTTAAAATGTAGGTGCTTAAAAAAACTTTGCGCTCTTGCTAATATCTGCACGTCATTCGGTGCCCGGAAACCGTTCATCACTGCCGAATCAAGACGCAATTGTTATTTGGAAAGCAATAACGTGTCAGTCTTGGCTGTGCGACTCGTAAACATGAAGTTGAACGGCGCGTTTTTTGGATAATTAGTCGTTTTACAACCCCATAAACGCGTTCTGGCGTGGGGAAGAATAAGATGCCGCACTGATCGGCTGTGTTCTAGAATGCTGTCTGCTGGTAACAGCGTATCGGCCAACGGCCGCGGATCATCGACTCCGTTTCATGATGAAGACTCAAGCTATAAAGTCGTCCTACCACGTCTTCCAACCGGTAACGACGTTTTGAATTCCGTTTTCCTTCATGCTGACTTGAGTGGTAGGCCGTACCGTGCCCCAGACTTCCGTGACGCGCTGCTTAAAGTGGTGAGCACAGCGGACATCATAGGAGTTGGCCAGTATCAAATGAGCCATGTATTAATGGTTACGTGTGCTAGCAGTGTGGCGAAACAGAAACTGGTCACTTGTGGTGAGCTCCGTGTAAAAGGACTGAAGTGCATGGTGCTAGATCCGGAGACCAAAAATATTAGGCTGAAACTTCTTTGGCTTACACCTCATCTCAATTCGCGACGTGTTGAAGAGGCGTTCCAAGCTTACGGCATTGTGAAGTCCGTTGAGAGAGAGGCACGGAGATGTGCTGGAATGGAACAATGGATGAGAAAAAATAGGGATGTTGCCTTGGAACTCAAGGACACCATGACAGTGAGCTCAATATCACACCTTATGTCAATATATGGCTGCCATTTCCTCGTACTTATTCCCGGTAGGCCTCTACTGTGTCGTCGCTGCAAGCGAGTGGGGCATGTACGTCGACAATGCAAAACACCGAGGTGCTTGCAGTGCCAGCAATTCGGTCACTCGCCGGATGCCTGTGTGTCGACTTATGCCAACAAACTCCATTCTAGCCAAGGCGCATTAGAGCAGCATCTGGATGATCTTATGGATGTCACTGAGGTAGTTGATGCGACAGGGGAAGCAGCGGGAGGAGCAGAATGTGCCTTAAAGGAAGCTGAACACTTGTTCATTGATACCCTCGGCACGCAAAATAACATCGCTAACGACGCCAGTGAAAGCATAAACGAATGCAATTCTGCAGAAGAACACCACTTGGAAGAACTTAAAGACAAGCCTCCTGACAATGAGGAACAAGAAGCAATGAATAGCGGTCAGACAAGGAAGCGTCAGGCACCGATCACTGATGAAGCAACAACGAGTGTGCCAGACACGACAGAGCAAGTGTCTTCATGTGGTCCAGGTGTGACCTTCTTTGGGGACCGAGGGACGCGCCAACTATGCCAGGGTCCTCAGGAAAGTGCTCCTAAAAAGTGCAAAGCAGGAAAAGCCACAAGTTGTCCTGTGGCTAAAGGTGACCTACAAAAGTTTTAGGACAGCAAAATGGCTACCACGCTAACGTTTCCCTTGTGTGTAGCGACACTCATTGACGTGGCTTGAGGAATGTGAGGCGTCAGTGGCAGTTGCGCCACGTGCTTGAGCAGTATAACATTGATGTACTTGCAGTGTAAGAGACTAAGATTTCGGCTGCTCGTGACACTCGTGATCTTGCACTGGAAATTTTCGGAGATTACAATTTATACATCAGCCCAGAATGTGGTGCACCCGCTGGATGCTTTTTATTAGTTAGAAAGCACTTGAAGCATACTTTGACGTCAATACATGCTGATGAGCAAGGACGCCTCATTTGTTGCGACTTGTCTTTCCATTCCCATAATTAGAGGTTTATCTGTGTCTATGCTCCCTCCAAAGTGAATGACAGGAATGCTTTTTTTCTCTCTTTAATCTCGCTGCTAAACACTGACAGAACGTTGATAGTGTTTGGAGACTTTAATTGTGTTTGTGACGCGAGAGATCATTCATATATAACAATTCGTTATGATGCAAGTGCAACCTTACTGCAGAAAGTATTGAATGACCACAATTTAATAGATGTGGGAGCACATGCACCTTCCTCGGGTGAGGTTCACGCACTTTCAAGGCATCTCTCATGCTCGGCTTGACCGTGTATATGTATCTTTAGGCTTATGGTCACACATTTATAATTATGCCGTAAAGCGCATATTTTTTACAGGCCATTGCTTGGTCACTGTTTCTTGGGATGCTGAACATTTTCGTAAAACCACTCTAAATTTGGAACAATGGAGCTTAACGTACAGTTGTTGAGCGAATATTGTTTTGTTAAAATAGTAAAAAGAATCGGTACAAGAAGCAACAGAGTGTCGACAGCTGCCAATTTCCGCTCAATGGGAAAGGTTCAAAGAAACAGTCAAGTATCAGGCAATTAGTATTTCATGGGAAATGGCGCAAAGAAAAAAAGCTGAAAAACGCTATCTTTATCATTTACTTCATTAGCTCCATACTTTTAAAAGTCAACAGGCGGGATTGTACGTTGACGAGATAAATGTGATTCGAGCACAGATACAAAAACATGATACAGATTTATACAGAGGAGCAAAGATTCGTTCCCGTGTTACCCATTTCACTGAAGAGGAACCCACTAAAATATCCCTTGGGAATGATAAGAGATATGCACTTTCTAAACAGATACTGCAAATTGAGTCGTGGGGTTTTCTTTGCGCAGAGACATGTGAAATAAGAGCCGCATTTGAAGATAATTACAAAAATTTGTTCACCGTGGCTGAGCTTCAGGAGAATTTTGAGGAAGAAGCTGACCACATCATTGCCCTTGTGCCTCAGTTACAAGATGATGATAGACTCACTGTATATGGACCCATAACCAGAGAGGAATTTAGATTTGCAATAACAACGTTGCAGAAAAACAAAACTCCTGGCCCAGATGGCTTTAGTGGCGAATTTTACATAGCTTTTCAGGAACTTCTGATACCTTTCCTTGAACAACTTTTTAAAGAGGCTTATGACCGTGGTGAACTTCCTCCTTCTTTCTATCAGAGCCATACAACATTAATCCCAAGAAGTGCTGATCCTGACGCATTAAAGAGAGTTAACGAATATAGGCCTATATCGTTATGTAAAGTTGATTGTGAAATATTTGCTAAATTTTTGACAAACCGGCTACAGACAGCGATTATTAAATGTGTAGGTGACCACCAGACATGTGGAATTCGCGGTCGCTCTATTCAGACAAACATTCATATTGCACGTTCAGTTCTTGAATGTATTGATGGTAGCATGGACCAAATAGCCCTCCTTCAAATAGACCTTGCAAAAGCATTCGATAAGGTACAGCATCCTTTTTTGTTCCGGCTCCTCAGACACCTGCAGTTGGGTGATGTACTCTATAATGGTATTTCACTCTCTTATAAGAAGTACACAACTAGGCTAATTGTAAATCGCACACTTTCAAATATAATAGAGTTAAATCTATCTATACGTTAGGGATGTCCACTCTCGCTTTGCTTTTTGCAATTTATCTGGAACCATTATGTTTAGGTGTGCTTCTAAAGTCTAGCTTCAGAGGCTACCAATATGATGCTGAGAAAGTTAAAGCTCTAGATTATGCAGATGACATTGCCTTCTTTTGCGCTGATAAACCCAGCGTTAAAAAAGCAGTCAACACTACGTTACGTTTCTATGAAGTCGCTGGCGCAAGCGTAAATTTCGATAAAAGTAGTGGATTCTGGCTAGGCATGTGGGCCCTAACTACTTCGGTCTTCGCAAATATTCATTGGAATGCTACTCCTATGAAATACTTTGGTGTGCCTCTTGATAACTAGCGTAACAGCGGCCCACAATGGACCACTGCGATAACTATGATCCGCCGAAAGGTGGCAACATGGCAAGGACGGGAGCTTTCCATTTTTGCCAGAGCGAAAGCGTGCAATATTTTCCTTACATCAAAGCTTATTTATATTCTGCAGGTGTTGCACTGTTGTCGTGTACACATTCAAGCCTTTCGTAGGATATTTGCCTGCTTTATTTGGAGCTCTTCCTGGGAACCCGTGAGAAGAGACAATCTTTTTCTTTTCCTTGAAAAGGGTGGCCTCGGTCTTGTGCACTTGTTCGTGCGACAGTTGGTGTTGCAATTTTTTTACCTAAAGGATGTGTGTCAACCCTTTCTTTTAGCGGTTCTTCGTAACCGTCTATGTTACCACATTTCTTTTATTCATGTCGCATCAAGCGTTGCCAAGGAATTGCCATTGTGGGGATTCCTAAAAGAAATTGTTGATACTGCCAATTTTTTGAAAGTCAGGTTTAGCTTAGAGTATTTGTACTCTATTGACAAAACAAATTTAACCGCTGCAGTTGGGAATAACCTTTTCTCAGAACCTGTTTATCGAAAGCCATATTCGCTTTTGCCTGGTCAAGATGTATTATTTCATGTACGTAGAATGTGGATATTTCCTTCAGCGAAAACATTTTTCTTTAAACTGCACACTTCTATGCTGCCAGTGAAAACGTGGCTGAATGAAAAATCAATATACGTACCCTGGACAGTGAATTGTAGACTCTGTAACCAATCTGAGACTATAGAGCTTTGTTTTATTTATTGTCCTGATGCTTTTTATTTTTGGGACATTCAAAAAAGAACATTAGGAAAAGAACTTCATATCACAGTTGACGGTATTAGGTTCCTCCATTCAAAAAAAGATTGAGAGAGAGAAAAAAAGGAAAGGCCGGGAGGTTAACCAGATATTGGCATCTGGTTTGCTACCCAGATGACTGATAATACTCCTTGTGACCTGTTCATGTTGTTGGCACTTTATTCACTATGGAAAAGTTGCATGATTGATAGACACGCCGAGCCACCATGGTCGACGAGATCTGTCTTCCGAGAAGCAGCTGCTCAAGTGCGCAGTGTTGTTGAGACTTTTGACCCCGTTCCGGAGTGGCTTCCCGTTTTTGACGCTTGTGTGTGTTTGCCTGACTTCTGATGAAGTATGCTGTGTGTACTTTACTGGTGATAATTTCATTCATTAAAGAAAAAAAATTCTGGCGTGGCGCAATGGGTAGCGTACTCGGTTATAAAACAGAAAGTACAGGTTGAAATTCCGTCAAGCGGTGTTTTGTTTTTTTTTCAATTTTTATTTTTTTATTGTGAATGCGCATTATTTTGCTTGTATACTTATTTATTTATTGCGAATGGGCACCCCTGTTTTATCCCTGCGAAGCCATTTTGCGCAGAGTACTGGCACGCTGCCGCTCAAGCGTTCCACTACCAGCGCCATACTGAGCCCATAATCAGGCATAGCGCTGGACGATGCTACCCAGTGGCGCTCGTTTTTGCAATAGGGATGTATGTCATGAATGTCATGATTTAAATTTCACGGTCCTGCAGCTCTTACGGTGGTTTCGTTCACAGGGCATTTCGCAAAACTGGTATGGTATGACATGATTGCATGAAGAACACAAGCGAAAGACTCGGACGTGAAAATCATGACATGAGTATCACGTAACAACATGACTACATGCTACGCTGATGTGCTTTCGGCCGTTTCGCCAGCTTCACATGTACCACACTCCGTATTATGCGACGCGAACGGATGAAATTGGTAAATGATACATCCAAACATGATAATCACGACATGCGTGTCATGTAACAACATGACTGCATGCCAGACTCATGATGCGTTCGCAGCCGTTTCGAGAGCTTCCCATATGCCAAATTTGGTATTACGCGACTTCAATGGATGACGAAGGTATGTGACTGGCGCAACGATGATAATAATGAGATGCATGTCATGTGAGAAGAGACTACATGCCACAGTCAAGGAGTCAATACATTTTGACGTGACCCGGTGCGCGTGCTTTCCGGCGTACATTTCGTTGCGTAACGCCGGCGTTGCCACGCCAGGCGCCCGTCCTACCAATTACACGCAGGCGTGCGCCGCGCTGCGCTGCTTTGACGCATGTGCGTTTAAGCGCATCCGGCGTCCCTCTGTTACGAAAAAAGGGAGAGGCAGTGTTGTTTGGTAACGCATCGGCACGAAATTCAGCAGGTCGCATTTCGCGCTCGTTGCCGTGGGGCCACGCCGACGGACGCTGGTCGCGCCGGTCGCACCTGGCGTCAGACTATAGAGTGCTCGGCTTTTGCTAATGTAGCGTCACTGTGCCCAGTGTGTGCGCTTGTCAACGCTAGATTGGAGTATATTGGGTTCTTCATGATGCACTCGCGGCCGTTTTGCTGGCTTCACATATACCAAATTTTGTGTTACGTCCATGGATGACAAAATTTAAGACTGGTACAAACATGATAATCCTGACACGCATGTCATGTAAGAACATGACAACATATACCACGCTCATAGCGTGCTCGCGGCCGTTTCGCTAGTTCCACGAATACTAAATTTAGGATCATGTGGCGTGAATAGATGACGAAGGAAAACGACACATCTAACCATGCTAATCATGACACGGAAGTTATGTACGGCATCATTTACCTCCACCTCGTAACCTTGTGCTGATTTTAAAGTGACATATCAACCTTTCTCATTCGTGCTTCGCATATATTCGATTCTCACTGTACGTGAGATCTGCCAATTGTTTTCATTACCAAAACAATGACTTCAGTGCTTCAGTAACATTGCCTGTTGAAGACGAAGTGATTCTTTGTAGAACACATCTCGCTCGTCTCAGTGCTTTTCTGGACTTTTCGCTGCAGTTGTGGGGTGTATTGCCCCGTAGGTTGCGGTAATGGATGTACAACCTCACGAGGCAACGTCTGACTCCGGTTCGACCGCGGCCACTACCTCGAGGAACGATGAAACACATCCAGTGAGAGCGATCACACTGAGCAGTACTCCGCATCTTGCGACGAGTCCTCATACGATGGCTTTCAACCTGTCCTGCACCGCAAGGCCAAGCGACGGATCATCAATCCATCGCCGGTGTCAAGTACAGCCACCGTGAAAGCGGCGCCCCAGCGATGGCCCCATTCCATCCAGTTTGTGCCAAAGAACGCTACCGAAAGTCTGCGTGTTCTGAACAGGCAAGCGCTTCGGTCTATTTTGAAAACACTGTGCCGAACGAGATTAAAGACCTACGGCTGAATACAAGAAGAGACATCCTGGCTGTCGATCTGCGGCACACGAGTGCGCTGAGCACGCTGCAACAAGTAACACAACTGGAAAACATTGCAGTTAGGTCCATCATACCAGCCGACGGTGCGACCACATCTGGAGTCATTTACGACATTAACACGGAAATCCCAAACGCAGACCTTCCAATACTTATAAAACCAGCGAGTCAAGACAACGTCATCATCAGCATTGGACGGCTTGGTAACACACGCTGTGTGAGAGTAACGTTCAAAGGTGACTGTCTTCCCGCAAACGTGAAGGTTGGCCACTTTCGTCAACAAGTTTGACCGTTCATTCCTAAACCCGTGCAATGCTTCAATTGTCAGAAGATCGGCCATGTAAAGGGTGTTTGCAGGAGCTCCGCAGCGTGCCCACGGTGCGCCGAACCACACGCTGAAGACAACCGCAGCGCTACCACACTGAAGTGTCCTAACTGTCAGGGTGCTCACAAGGCTTCTTCGAAAGAATGTCCGCACATAAAGAAAGAATTTTCTATTCTGAAGCAAATGGTACGAGACAGCTCAACCCACACAAAAGCTGTCAAGAAAATCCGGCGAAGACGAGGTCGCCGTCGAAGGTCGTCACGTCGGAGAGCGCCAACTTCAGGCGATAAGTCGACGCATCAGGAAACATCGCCAGCTGCAGTTTCCAGCAGGGCAAACACAGACGTTGGAAAAGAGCAAAGGGACAGATAAATCTGTACAGAAGAGTGGCCGCCAGTTACGCGTACACAACGCGCAGAAGAGCCGCAGCAGAAGCCGTCTTCTTCCGAGCAAGCTGCGGCAATGGAGGACCTGCGTGACACAGATCAGCAAGTGATAGCTCTTCTGTGACCCTAAATTAACGCCATTCGCTTGTTGTTAAGCAACATGCACGCAACGTCAGCAAGAAGTGCATTGCAATTACTGGACGCTTTGAGTCCAGTACTCCAAGCGCTTGAGTAAATAATGGCTCATCAGCCACTGGCTTTCTGAGAAGATGTCCGAAAGGCAGCGATTATTCAATGGAATGCCATGGGACTGAGGTCACGCATCGCCGATTTCCGTCGGTTCGCGTACACCAATAAGTTCCCCATCATTGTCATCTGCGAGCCAAATTTACAGAAAGAAATCTGACTTTCTGGTTATGAGTCATTAATGTCGTCTACAACTGTGGACAATAGCAAAGTTCTGATGTTTATTCGCCACGACCTCACCTACATTCATCATTCGGTGTCACCCCACGACGACAATCAATATATAAATATAACAGTGAAAAGGAGACTTACCAACCCGGTTGTGGGTGCCTACCTCTCTCCGTCAAGTTGATTCGACCATACAAGACTACAAGGTATCCTGTCAGCAACTTCTCACCCATGCATTATAATTGGCGACTTCAACGCCCATCATACAATCTGGGGAAGTTCGAAGACCAATGTTAAAGGGAGAAAGTTGGTGTCCTTCGCCTCTGACAACCAAGTTTTCTTGCTAAATGATGGCAGTCCAACGTTCCTACGTGGTTCAAGGTATAGAAGCTGCCTTGACCTGGCCTTTGTTTCACGAGGCCTCGTCAGGCATGATGAGTGGTTTCCAGACCTAGAAACGCATGAAAGTGATCACATTCCCACTTACGTCGAAATCGAAGGATTGTCCTATGCTAAGATACGCGACAGTGTTCAGAGAGTAGACTGGTGGAAATTCCAGTCTCGCATGGAAGAGCAATCTGAAGCAAACATATCCCTCGACATAGAGGTGATAATTAAAAGCACAATACACGATACTACGTGTACTCTCACCTGCTCTCCCAAAGTAACGGAATTTGACATCGAGCTAGAACGACTTCGAGCAATTCGACGGCGTGCTGAACGAAGATACCGACGCACGGAGGCAATAGAAGACTTATGAATTTCTCGACGTATACAAAAGAAGATTCAGCGCCGGATAAATAAACACGAGTCACAACGTTGGACTGCTTTTTGTGAGTCACTTGACCCACGAAAACCTTTATCCCATTTGTGGAAGACGGTACGAGGTCTCCGCACAAAACCTACTCAGTGGTCACTATTCAGGGCTCTCGCACTTTTTGAACAGAGACGCTGCATCGACGTGGCAGAAGACTTCTGTGCCAGAGTAACTGGGCCACTCGCAGTGCCCAATAGCCTATTGCCCTCGACTATCTGTCCACAAACACTGGATTCCCGCATGGATATGCCTTTTTCCATCGTAGAGCTCAGAGCAACAATAGCTTTGTGTGACGCACGTCGGCACCAGGGCTCGATATAATTTCTTATAGGGCCTTGTGTCATCTGGGTGAACGCGCGAGAATCCACTTTTGGAGTTGTACAACAAATCCTGGCAAGATGAAACGCTCCCGACAAGCTGGAAGACAAGTCGCCTAGTTCCACTTCTGAAGCCAGGCAAGTCACCGTTGGACCTCTCATCTTATCGTCCGATCGCATTGGCCAGTTGTGTAGGCAAAGTTATGAAGAGGATGATCCTGGGACGCCTGGAGTGGTTCTTGGAGTTTAACAACATCTACCCAGATGCTATGGCAGGATTTCGGCGTGGTCGAGCATCGATTGACAACGTAGCCGACCTGGTCACTTATGTCCAACACGAGAAAGGCCGTAAGCGTCTCTGCGTATCTTTGGTCCTAGACGTCAAAGAGGCGTATGACAACGTTACGCATGAAGCTGTTCTCACCGCTCTCGAAGATATAGGAGTAGGTGGTCGGATGTATCGCTGGATACGTAGTTATTTGTCAATGCGATCCTTCTTTGTGAGCACGGAAGACGGTCCAACCTCTCCACATTACAGCCACCGTGGCATCCCCCAGGGTGGCGTACTCAGCCCTGTGCTGTTCAATCTTACGTTAAT